GCCGCCCTCAGGAGCCCGGCCTTTACCCTCCCCTGCAGACGATCGGCGAGCAAGCTCACGCAAAACGCAAGTGGCAGAGGTCCGTAGGGTCGTGACCTGGTCGCAGTTAGCCGTAGGGAAGTGAGGGGGGGCCGAACACCGGCGCAGGGATACGAAGGACAGGTTTGGGGAAAGAGGGGGGGGGGGTCGCTTTACCCTGCGCGACAAATCACCCAGCACCCGTGGCTGCTTCGGACGCATAGTGGCGTGACCACGACAACCACTACCACCCCCGCCTTATACCCGCCTCAGTCGCGAGGGTGGGTCTCTGCGGGGAGTGCGATGCGCAGCACCACAACCTTACTCGTCCCGCGCGGGCGACCTTCGAGCCCGCCACACTAACAAGCTGAGGGGGGGAGGGGGGCTAAACAACGAGAGTGAGTCGGTTAAGACGAGCGAGTGAGGCCTATTCGGTGAGGCCCAACACCCCGCAGGCCGCACCAATCTGATTGGAATGATGAGAGCATACCGGGAAGGAGAGCAAAGGAGTGAGGGAGAAAAGAGGGGCAGGAGACACGAGGGCGACGTTATACAGTAGCAGTAGTACAGAACAAAAATCCTTATATCTAAACATGGTGAGATCTTCCTTCTTCATGGCGGAGTCTTGTTGGCGCGTTGCATCTGCCTGGAAAATAAAGAGAGAGAGGGAGATATAGATAGATACTTGTCGTGCTGCCTACGAGTGCTTTCCTCCAGCCTTCGTCACCCGCGCGCCCGCAGCCGCAGGCAAGCGAAAGACAAGGGAGTGAGTTGGGCTGCCTACCTGGCAGGCTGAGTGGCTTGGTCAGGCTATGTAGCTGTGGGACTCCACAGGGGCTGCAGACGACCCCACCAGTCCACCTAAAAAGGAATATGAGCGCGTTAAAGTGGAGCAGTACTACAGCAAAATGTACCCCCCACCCCCTCCCCACCAATTAACCTCTCCTTCTTCCTACCAGTTTACAGTGTCTCTTCTCCTTCCCTTAAAATTTAGTAAACATACTGCTGCAAGAAATGTCACGATGTCACCTATTATATCTAAAGACATTGAACACATCTCTTCCCAGCCACATGTGACAAAATGAAACTCACATAACTTTTAAAAAATGCAGACCATCTTAGAAAAAATATTTGCTGCATCCCCTCCCCCGTTTCTTCTATTCATTTTAGCCATGCCATTGGCCTGGGAGAGCATATGCCATGTGGCTGAAAACTGAACAATGTATCTGAAACTAATTTGTAGTCCCCAATGAACAGTGGTCCGGCACAGACTACTCGATGAAAACTTGTTTCGGTGCAGCAAATCTGTCGGGACTTGTGAGCTACCTCATATCCAAAAGGACACTTTACTTACAAATACATTCAAGTTATCAAACACACAACATAATACTCTCTCCACCAAAATCAGCTGGCAAATCTTTTACAAAGCTAAACACCAAGTGACAGCTCACCCTCCTGCTGGAAATGACATGGCAAAAGTACAAGATTCGATTTAAAAAAATAATTGATCCCATTCTCTTCCATAATGATTTCTTGAAGTAAACATAATTTCATTTTCTTCCTACTAAGAAAAGCAGTCTTTTACTTTGGTATTGAGGTATCTTTTCCATATTTCACTTTAAAAAGAACTGAGGGATTACTGTCTTGTTATCCTCATGGTATTAAGATCATCACTCCCTTCCCCTCTAAAAGGCACTTGAAACAGAGAACATTGATCTCTCAATAGTTCTTTTAACGAACATAAGCATGTTTAACATGGGGTGACAGCAGCAGGGAAGTGCTGGCACTATCACAGATATGAAAAACTGTTTTAGTAAGAAGGACAATGTTTGACTCTAAAGTTTCTCATACTCCAACCCTTTAGGTACAACTCTTTTATCTTCTAAAAGTGAGTTTTCAAAGTTCTTAAAATGTCTGCACTTAGCTTTTGATCCTATTCTCCACTGTGGCAAAGCCCCGTCAGCAGCAGGTGGGAATCGTTGCCACAGCAGCCAAAGGCGTTCTGAAATGCAGAAGAACAGAAACAATTCAAAAACGGAGTTCTAATCACTTCAATTGCCTGTGTGTAGAAATTATTCAAAGATTTTATGGTTCAGAAATATATAGCAGATCCTTGTACGGAATGAGAAGAACAACGCTTTAAGTAGTTGTCTATTGGTTAACTATAATACATGCAAGCCACACATCTTATAAACAAAACATACCCTCAGATTAAGAATGTGCTGAAAAGTTACCTCTGAGGGTAGTTTATGATTTACAAATCAATATTCATGATTGATTAAAAGCAGTGCACATATTCTCTGATTTTGAAAAAAAATTACACACTCTCTATGGTATTTTAATTGTTAAGACTAAGAGGAAAATAATAATACACCCACAACTGCAATTACTTTGAGAACCTTCAAATCAGTTTCCAATTGACATAAATTATTACACTGAAGCAATAGCTACAAATTACCATCAACAGTAACTAAATGCCCAGTCCTGATGAACAGATTATGATCACAATCACTAACAAGTAAATTTCACTGAAAGAACACACGCTCACTTGAGAAATAAAAGAAGGAATAGAAAAATATTTCTCCCCAAACTACATCACACATTCTGTTGAAAACGTTTACAGTAGGATCCTCTGTCTGTATGAAATGACAACCCATAAGATTTTTAACCTAATCCCAAATGTATGACGATTAGAATGTGTTAAAAAATGGTGACACTTACCTGTTTGTGTTCCACATTTTAGGGGCATAGTCAACAGCAACTGTCTAACATTTCTTTCCTCTTGCTTTGACAAAAAATCAATGTGCATTAGCGTCCAGTCAGCTTAAATATGGCACTGTGAACCACTGAAAAGCAACAAAACGAAACATGCATTCATATTCTCTCAAATGGACAGAAAGAACTAGAGTATAGTGAGTGGAGGTCTTACCTTGAGGTTTCACCAAAGGGACGGACTGAGAATCGCTTGGTTTGAAGTCTGTTGAATATCAAATTCAAAAGTCCACACAGACCTGACATCCCAGCCTTGCAACTGTGAAGTAGCCTCTATTGGGTTCCACAAATTCTTCCTTTTAAAGAAACTGAAAGAATAAGAAAATTAAATGGTTAACTGTTGGAAAAAATAACAACAGTCTTTGTCTTTAACATTGTAAACATTGACCATTGACAACTGCAGACAGGAGACAAATTTCCACAGTTATAAAAAGAGTAGAAAAGAGTAGACAACAATGTTTGAAACACATCATATCAGCTCCCAAATGCAACATTTTTCAAAAGAAAGCTACAGCCCCTTTTTCTGCACCAACAAACTATTTGCATATCAGAAACAACCAACAGAAACAGCAAACTTTCAAAAGCAAAGAAAATAACCACAATACTCGATACTAATACTTAAGAAAAGATGCACTAATTTGAGTAGGTATTCTTAATGGTGCACAGCAAATAAGGACTAAAGTTGTTCTCTGTTTCCTTTCTATACAAATGTTTGTGTATGGTTGACTGATGAAAAAATATCAACCTTATTGCATACATTTACTGTAGAACAATCAAAACTCTACATGCAAATGTTATACCACTCCCCTTCACAATGCTTTGATGGTAACTTTACAATTTAAACTTAGGAAAGAAAGAAGAGCATATGCTCTCCCAAGCCAGTGGCATGGCTAAAATAAAGAGAAGAAACGGGGGAGGGGATAATAACTTACCTCTGCGATTATCTTTTCCCCTGAAGTAACATCTCAACGTTAAGTCTCACATCAAGTGGCGGCAATTAAAAACAACAAACAGACAGCGAGTCACAGTTGTGAAGACTATTGAAGACAAAAGCTGACGCCTGAAAAGAAACAAAGAACAGTTAAGTGGCTATTTTCTTATTCTGGATCAAACCCATATGAAACCGTTTTGTCTGACTAATACGGGGTCCACCTTTACAGCTGCTTTGCAAGTGACACACCCCAACAATATTACAATGATGGAAAATACGAAGGACTACCACAAACTCACCTTTCAGTCTGCCACTCCTTCGTCACATCAAAAAGATACTCTCCGAGATTGTCCTCAATCCAGGTAAGTGGAATAAAAGAAAGCTTCTCACACCACTGAGAGTTGAGAACTGGTTCATCCTCACAACATCGCACAACCACTGTAAAAAATAAACAGCACAGAAGCATGTATTAGCATTCACTTTGCAAAACAGATATAAAAAAACAGATCATAAAGAAGTAAAGACTCAACCATTCACAGTCACTTGCCCCAAAGGACTACCACATTGTCTCCATGGACGTTTTGAAACAATCAACTTTGAAGATAAACACTGACATTTGTAAGCCCTGAAAAATAAAAAAAAACAATAGATCAGAAATCACACATTCTAAAGGAAATGTAGAAAATAATGGAGGTCAAAATAATACAAGAGGCAACCAACCTGTAAATTTTGTAGACACTCTTTCACGTCGGGGAAGTTTCGCCACTCAGTAAAGTCCAATACATTGAAGACGGACAGTAGCGTGCAGCACTCTTTAACCTTAAAAGAACAAATACACTAGAGATCCAAGGCACACTTTAAAAAATTACCACTTCTACATCCCTTGAATTTACTCACCCTCATCAGAATATTTGCAAGACACCATATCTTCCCAAACTCAGTGTTCTGTTGATGTTTACTGACTCTCACTAGGTCAATCGAAATTGGTTCACGACAGCAATGCAGCTGTGAGGTCTCCATTTCACAAAACACGACCTGCACAAATAAAGAAGAAAAGAGAGTCAGTCAAAATGCAGGTAAACATTGGCATACAGCATAATAAATAATCCCCCAAAAATGCACTTGTTGGAAATTGGATTTGAATTCAGGTTTCAAAATGTGCCACTCGAATCTAACGGTCACAAGACGATAGCAAAATATTGACGATCGAATAAGGCCCGCATTGAATA